TAAAAAAAATAAAATTTCCGTTTTTTTTTTTGAAGTTTTTTTCTCTCTCTCTCCCTCTTTTTTTTTTTTCTTTTTTTTGTTGTTGTTGTTAACTTGTTGTTAATGGGTTCATAATACTTCATATTTTTGCTTTTTTTTTTCCTTTTTCTGCTTCTGATTTTTTTTTTATTAGTGGTATCGCAGTATCTATTGCCCGGGACACAATTGCAACTGACTGCATGGTTTGGTAGTCGAGTCATGATGGTCAGCTGACATCTGGCAGCTGTGGTAATGCAGCACATTTTTGTTTTTTGTTGTTGGTAACTGTGGTAACTGCAGCAGATTGTTGTTTTAACTACGGCAACTGCAGTAGTGGGCATAACTCTGCTAACTCTAGTAACCACAGCAGAGGGACTGAGATGATAACAGATGGCACACAACGAAGGAGTGAGACCACAACAGAGGGATCACAATTGAGGGACAACCCTTAGCTTCACTTATAAATAAATCTTTTTTCTGAAGTCCCAGGTTATGATTTGCATTAGATGCAGCAGAAGATATTAATTGTGCAATCATAAATGCTTTTTCGTATGAGCAACCACGAATTTGGTTAATAACTTTACGGGTTTTATGAAAAGAAATATTCAGTGATTTTAAAGAAGCTTTTACAATAGACAGGGCGACAGTAGAGGAAACACGATAGCGTAAGTTCGGGCAATGGCGCAGAGCAGAGCAGGACCAATTGGTCGGTGGCAGTGTCCCGAAGAGGGACAGAACAGTGGGTGGGCTCTTGTGAACCTAAACGGTAAGATAAAAATTAAATATTTAAATAACTAGTTAAATCTTCATTACATATTTAATATTTATTAACACTGCAAGAAGAAAGCAGTGAGCTGTATATGAGCCATAGCAAACAAACAAGAAGAGTCAGAACGACTCAGAAGCTAAGATTAAAAATTAAATATTTAAATAATTTAATTAATAAATTAAAGGGAAAAAGCAGGACGAAGGAAAACCCACATTAACGCAAGCAGAAAGAAAAAAGGATTAAAAAAAAAAAAAAAACATTGTAAAAGGGCCTTTACCCGATATAGGCCTCAGGCCTTGTAAAAATAAAGCAGGTCAAAGGTCAAGTTCTCTATCAACAGGCATATTTAAAACTAAGGCAAAGGGCATTGTCAAAAGACTTACCTGTTCACCAGGAGATGTGTATGTCATGTCTGTTTGGGTAAGGGTGT